AGCCCCCCTTGTCCTTAGCTGGGGACTCCGCTAACGGGCACCCCAGTATTAAAGGTGCAGATCAAGGAAGCCAACCGAGGATCGGCCGCACAGGGAGAGTCATTGTCATATAATCTTTTAATGTGCGGGTTTTGTACCAGCTGGCCTCTCCAGGGAACATCGCTGTTATGTAAAGGGCGTGGCGATAACAGCAGACGCAGGAACAATGGCTCGGCCTTGAGATCTGTGTGCGGCTCCACGTGTTGTAAGTTAAGAAGGTACATGAAGCGGGCGGGGCGAGGTACGTCCGTTCCTCGCCTTGTGGCTGTACCTTGTAAATCCATGTGAGGGAACATTCCTCCATCCTACGAGAACATTGCGTTTAACCCGAACGTGTCCGAGCCGTGCCTGCACAGAGCCGAAATCATGAAAGAAGCTTCGCGGTCACAGAACACGCACTATAAGGCCAAATGTCTGACCGCCGGACCATCACACCCACCAATATGAGGAGAACCCTCCAGATGATGAAGGTCAGGTGTCTCCAGTGAAGGTTCTGTTCATACAAAGACAATTGTGATCTTCTAACTTTGTGGTGGTAACCGTTTGATAAAGACCAGTGGTGGAACTATCGCCATAGCGACCCAATCGGCCGCTATGGGGCACAGGGGGGCCCGGCCAGGTCCCCCGATGCTGTGCAGGCCGCCTGGGTCGCTATGGCACCGCAGGCTTCAGGACTGTCGCTCGTGGCTGTGAGGAGGAACGTGCCGCTGTCCAGATCACTGACAACCTGTCTGAGTCAGTGACAGCTGCAGTGGAGGAGGCCGGGGCCTGGACCTGGGCCCAGCAGCGACCGTGGAGGAGGGGGCTGACAGGTAAGGGGTGTGACCAGCCCACCTGAGGCCCTATAGAGCCCACCATAAAGAGTCTATGGTGGGCTCTGGAGAGTCACTCTCAGGTGGACTGTGTGGGATCTCAAGTGGGCTCTGGAAGGTGCCAGGTGGGCTTTGCGCGGTCTATGGTATGTGCGGGGTCCTCAAATGGGCTTTGCAGGGTGTCAGGTGGGCTGTGCGGGGTCTATGGTATGTGTGGGTCCCAAGTGGACTCTGCAGGGTGTTAGGTGGGCTGTGCGGGGTCTATGATATGTGTGGGGTCACAAGTGGGCTCTGCAGGGTTTTAGGTGGGCTGTGTGGGTTCTTTGGTATGTGTGGGTCCCAAGTGGGCTCTGCAGGGTGTTAGGTGGGCTGTGCGGGGTCTCAAGTGGGCTCTGCAGGCGGGTTGTGCGTGGTCTATGATATGTGCGGGGCCCCAAGTGGACTCTGCAGGGTGTTAGGTGGGCTGTGCGGGGTCTTTGGTATGTGTGGGGTCTCAAGTGGGCTCTGCAGGGTGTTAGGTGGGCTGTGTGGGGTCTATGGTATGTGTGGGGTCTCAAGTGGGATCTGCAGGGTGGCAGGTGGGCTGTGCGGGGTCTTTCGTATGTGTGGGGTCCCAAGTGGGCTGTACAGGGTGTTAGGTGGGCTGTGCGGGGTGTATGGTATGTGTGGGGTCTCAAGTGGGCTGTGCGGGGTTTTAAGTGGGCTGTGCGGGGTGTATGGTATGTGTGGGGTCTCAAGTGGGCTGTACAGGGTGTTAGGTGGGCTGTGCGGGGTGTATGGTATGTGTGGGGTCTCAAGTGGGCTCTGCAGGTTGGCAGGTGGGCTGTGCGGGGTGTTAAGTGGGCTGTGCGGGGTGTATGGTATGTGTGGGGTCTCAAGTGGACTCTGCAGAGTGTTAGGTGGGCTGTGCGGGGTCTATGGTATGTGTGGGGTCTCAAGTGGGCTCTGCAGGGTGTTAGGTGGGCTGTGCGGGGTCTTTGGTATGTGTGGGGTCTCAAGTGGGCTCTGCAGGTTGGCAGGCGGGCTGTGCGGGGTCTCAGGAGGGATCTGTGAGTTCTCAGGTGGGCTCCGCAGGGCCTCTGGTGGGTTGTACGGGGTCTACAATGGGCTCTACAGTAGTGAGCGGAAACGTGTTCTGGAGGTAGGTCCTTTTTTCTTTTTTTTTGTACGGGGGTGATTTGTTTGGAGGCCCATTCAATATTTTACTATGGGGCCCTGTGATTTCTAGTTGCACCCCTGGTGAAGACCCTTTTCTGTCCCACCATGACTGTCCCCTGTGTACAAAGCCAGCTCCATAAAGACATGGTGTGACCAGTGTGGTGGAGGAATTCGAGTGTCCTGCACAGAGCCCTGACCCCAACCCTACTGAAGACCTTTGGAAAGAATTGGAACCTCAACTGTGAAGAAGCCGGTCTTCTCATCCAACATCAGTACCTGACCTCACCAATTCCCTCCTTCAGACTCGTGGAAAGTCGCCAGCGTTCTCTACAATTGTTACATTGTATCTCTTGTTACTACAATGTATTTTGTGGGATCATCTGCGCCATCTAGTGGCCATAGAGTGCATTACCTCATTACCTTCAGTGTATTCAAGAATTGTTACATCTCTTGTTACTACAATGTATCTGTATATAATAATCCGGCCACTCCGTGTATATAATAATCCGGCCACTCGTTGTATATCCTCTGGTCCTCAGCGCCATCTAGTGGCCACAGTGAGGCATTGCCCCCCTTCATTTCGCTCTCCATGAACCTATTTTTTTTATACTACTGTCCATAACATTCGAAGAATGAGAAAATACCCCAAGAACATTTATTTTTGGCCCGTCACCACAGCCGGGTAATTTGCACGGAATACGGAAAATTGTATACTTACCTTTCGGTAATTTTCCTTTCCTGGTGCCTTGACATGGCAGCATACATGTGGTTGAAGCTCCTCCCCCTTCAACCCCCCAGGACCAGTATCTCTATAAATTGATTGGCTTCTGCTCCCTTCTAGTAAACAGACCAAGACGCATTGGGTGGGAGACATGTATGCTGCCATGTCAAGGCACCAGGAAAGGAAAATTACCGAAATTCCTGGTGCCGACGTGGCAGCATACCTAGCCACACGGGAGGGAAATGCAACAAAAGGGAGAAGGGAGCAGAAGCCAATCAATATATAGAGATACTGGTCCTGGGGGTTGAAGGGGGAGGAGCTTCAACCACATGTATGCTGCCATGTCAGCACCAGGAATGCAGTTGTACTGGATGAATGTTTTCACCCCTGTGTGTCATGGGAGCGCTCTGAAGGCGCCTAGGCAAAGGGGGGCGTGGCCTGGTGGCCGGGGCTCAATCGTCACATGAGCCTTTTCGATATTGCCAAGTTACAGCATTATGAATAGCTGCTGCTTCCACGCTACCTCATGTGACCTAAAGCCTAGGCAAAGGTCACATGGTGTCCGGCTCTGTGAAGCACTGTGGCTGTTTTACGTCATCAGAGACTATAGCGTGTCCGTAACACACCAGGATAAGGGTTCTACATGCGACGGTCATTTTCGGGGGTGACAACTGCAGTCACATGGCTCGAATTAAGATCCTCATCATTGGTGGCAAGGACACGGAGGTTGGGCAGGCGGGCAAACTGACCTAATCATTGGCCAGGTTGGGTTCTGGTCGAACTCACGGTCCACTCGAGCCCGCAGCACCTGGATACGATGACGTCCCGATTTTCAGCCTTAAAAGGAGCCATCTCATTGGGTCTCATCCGAAATGAAGTACAAAGCCCTGAAGAAGGGGGAGGGGTCTTCCAGCAAAAGGCGTCGGCTGCATTTTCTTCAATACGCTCCCTTGTCACCATGGTGACAAGGGAGCATGGAGCCGGCTTTCTGGCCAAGCAGGAGGCCGGGGTGCAGGTAATGACTCGTCACCTGGCTGCCTGATTGGCCAGCTTGCCAGCCAATCAGGAAGCGCGGCAGCGAGTCATTACATGGCGCCCGGCTTCCTGATTGGCCAGAAAGCCGGCTCCATGCTCCCTTGTCACCATGGTGACAAGGGAGCATGGAGCCGGCTTTCTGGCCAATCAGGTGGCCGGGGGGCGAGTCATTACATGGTGCCTGGCTTCCTGATTGGTCATGGAGCCAGTTTTCTGGCCAATCAGGAGGCCGTGGGGGTGGGGGGTGTGCAGGTAATGACTCGTCACCTGGCTGCCTGATTGGCCAGCTTGCCAACCAATCAAAAAGCAGGGCGGCGAGTCATTACATGGCGCCTGGCTTCCTGATTGGCTCCCTGTTGACGAGGGAGCATGGAGCCGGCTTCCCGGCCAATCAGAAGTTTCGGTATCTGGATAGGCATTGGGAGCATTTGGTCGAGTACTCGCCCAAAAAACTCGGTATCGGCACTCAGTATCGGTATCGGTATCGGCGCATCCCTAGTCATCGAGTTACAGTTTAGATCTACTCTGAAGTAAAGGAAAATAATAATAATAATAAATGGAGACCAAACATTCCGATTCTCCCATGAGCCCAACGTGACAGGTCCTCTTTATTAACATTTCGGCATAAATACGTTTCAAAAATTTGATAAGAAATTAATACGGTTAGAAAAGGAGGAGGTGCGGGGGAGGGGAGGGGGGGCACTTATTTTCTTACTTCCTGTCTGGTAAGCCAATAGAAATTATTGCGGGCGGCCCCGAATTCTTAAATGTGGAAGATCTGATAACATGGAATTGTTACATGATATATAGTTTGGAATTTAGACTTTTCCCTATTTACGCTCTTCGGTCCTTTAAACGCCAATGAGTCATGTGACCAACACCAAATTTCGTAGAGAAGGACGTCATAGAGGCTGTTGTCTCGGGGGTGGGTGGGGGAGGATTGGAGGCCTGAGCCCTCAAGAAGAATTGATACATTTAGGGATATTGGTTCCTGCTTGGAGGACTTCACCCATCAGGGTTGGTTGAGGAGACAATGAAGTTGCCCTCAGGTGAAGCTTCCGTGAGATACGTTTAGTCAACTCGACGTGATAACAACATTGGAGGACCGCCGGCACACAAGCAGGAACTTCCACCGACCTCCAATGGCCCCATGACGGTGGGATGTCGGCGGGATGACGGCGGTCCTCAGTCGGCTCTCAAGTGCGTCCTGAATTACATCTCCATGGGATCCGAATTCCGGACTCAGATGTTTCGGCAGCAGGATTTTTTTGCTTCCAGTGATTGGCCTTCAGATTGAGCTCCGGTGGGCTCATTGGATAAGATGACCGTGTTGGTTTTGGGGGTTTCACCTTTGCTCTTCAGAATCCTCCTGTGGATGTCTAGAACATAAGAGGAGACAAGTCTTAGAACCTGACCTCCGGCCTTCCCTTCATTCTTCTATCTGACCTCCGTCCTCCACTTCAGTCTTCTATCTGACCTCTGGCCTTCCCTTCATTCTTCTATCTGACCTCCGTCCTCCACTTCAGTCTTCTATCTGACCTCTGGCCTTCCCTTCATTCTTCTATCTGACCTCCGTCCTCCCCTTCAGTCTTCTATCTGACCTCCGTCCTTCCTTTCATTCTTCTATCTGACCTCCGTCCTCCCCTTCAGTCTTCTATCTGACCTCCGTCCTCCCCTTCTTTCTTCTAGCTGACCTCCGTCCTTCCCTCCAGTCTTCTATCTGACCTCCGTCCTCCCCTTCAGTCTTCTATCTGACCTCCGTCCTCCCCCTT